TGGTTGCAAAGCAAACGTGCAGACCACTCGGCCATCGGCCAATAAAGTGAACCATGAGATCCTGCTCCACAAGCTGAGTATGTGTGGTGTTTGTGGCGCACTGCCCCGGTGGATCAGTGACTTCCTTATTACAAGATGGCGGGTAGAGGTGGATGACCACCTAACGGACTGGTACCCCTCCACTAGCGGTGTACCCGTAGGCACAGTAACGAGGCCCACTTTATTTCTGATCCACATGAACGAACTGCCTCAGCTTCTTCGGCCACCCTGTGCACTGTTTGCAGACGACTTGAAGCTTTTGAGGGTTATTGCTTTTCCCGACGACTGTGACGTCCTTCAGCAGAACCTGGACCGCCGGTCCCCATGGTCTGCAGAAGTTGACCTACCGGTCAACACGGCCAAGTCCTCGTTTATGAGCCTGGAGAGGTGTGGAAATGGGCGTGCGTACACCCTGGCCGGCAACCCGCTGTATCCCACCAGTTCCGTAAAGAATCTAAGTGTACTCCCACGCTGTGATCTGAAGTCTGCCGACAACAAGGACAGACTGTACGCAAACGGACTACGCGTGCTTTGGGCACTTAGACGCAGCTTCTGCACTTGGTCTGAAGAGATTGCCACCCGTCTGTTCTTTTCCATGATAAGACCGGTGCTTGAGTACGGCTCACCCACCTATTGTCCGATCACAATAGGTGAGGTGCAGAGACTGGAACGGGTCCAGCATGTAGCTACCCGGCCCATCCCCAGTTTGCGGGGTATGGCGTATGATGACCGATGTAAGAGACTAGGGCTTTATACCCAGTCATATCCTCGGCTTCGAGTTAATCTCGTTATGACGCACCGGATACTACACATGGGCCACTTCCCTAGGTTGAGGCTGTTGGTGCACGCTCGCGCACGAAGCAGCACACGTGGACACGGGTACAAATAGTGATACCGGATTTAAAGCGCATCGCTCACCCTCTAGGCTTCGAGCGTTGAGTGGTGAACTATTGGAACAAGTTGTTGGAGACGCTAGTCGGGACGAAATAGGTGTCGGAATTTAAGAGATTCCTTGACGCCCACTTTTCGGACTACAGGTATAGAAAGCTTATCGCACCCGGATAAAATGTAGTGCATCTGCAATATGCTGCCACCGCGCAGCAATCAGCGACGTGATTCCGCGCATGTGCCCGATCTACCTACGATGGAGCAACACAGATTATCTTCTCGCTCTCCATTCTCAGTATTCAACACGCAGGTACACGCACAGTCCAACTGCATTGATGATGTTGGATAAGTGCCACCTCGACCGCATTGTTAGCCTGAGTTAGTAAATTAAATCGGAGGCATCGTTTTTACTAAGCGCTGTGCTGATGATGATCCCATATTTATTTGACGCTGGTAGACTAGTGCACAGCACTCCGGATGTGTGTTCAGTGCGCGTCAACATCCGGGAGTTGAGGGCTTTTCAGATGAAAAGCTAACAAATTATGGAAAGCATCGAACATATTTAGAGCGATAAATTTAGCTACGTTAATCCGTTTCCGTTTGCCCTAACGAGCGTCACGTTGTGTATACCTACTGGCAACTCCGGGCCTCCAGCGCTTTGATGTTGTTTAGCAGCTTTTGCATTTCTTCTGAACGCTTCCTTCTCCCTATGGCAACGATATCGTAGGACGAGAGCTTCCAGTTGATATGCAGCCTGAAAACTTGCATTCTGCTTTTAACTGTCCGTCTTTTTAGTTGGAGTGGTTTTGGTACGATTTCAGGGTTCCGGACTAGGTTTCATTATTTAGTGGGTTACAAGACACTGACAAATTGGAACTTGCAAGCAAGTCAACAGATAGTTCAGATATCTTCGTCCTTCAAGCTGACACAACGTCGGCCGTAGCTTTTTTGTGAAAGACAGATTTGGAATCTTGCAAGCAAGTCATATACGACATCACCACGTTTTTGATCTTTTCTGGCAACCCCTATCAATGGTCATTCCAGTGACCACAGGTTAGCAGTTTCTCTCCGTCCTCAAATGAGCGCGGCATTATTCAATGGCGCCGATTCAATTCTCGTTATATTTTTCCTTTACTCATTCATTTTACACATCAACTAAGAGTAAGAAACCATCTGTTATGCCGCAAAACAATTCAAGAAGATATAAACCGAAACTAAACAAGACAACAATTATTCTGTTTTTTACCTTATGCATTAATGAGCTGGTGATACAAATGGGTAGAGACAAAGATACGACACAAAGTCCATTGAGGTCGGTTCTTTGCCATGTCAACCATTGTATCCAACCTTTACCTTAGCAGCACTGCTTTCCAGGGCGAACGTTCACATCGTGTCAACCGACGCCCACCAATTTCCTCAATGACCTGGACCCAAATTGGCCATATTCCCATCGCGACGAGACTGGACCTTAACGTGGTGCGATGGTTTGCGTGCCCCAGCGATCTATTGGGCTATGTTAGGTGGTTCTTTTTCACTTTCATAGCCGCTCATACTAGATTGGTCAATGATTTGACGCCAGACAACCTCAATCTCCTGACCCTCCGTTTGGGGGTTGAAGTGAGGATGGCTCCTTACTTCATAAAACGGACTCTCAGTAGCCCTGTGCCAAAAACCCGTTACCATGGGTTAAGGTTTTTGAACAAAAGAGGTTAGTTGAAAATCCATATTCGTTCTCCGGTCTAGGCCTGGACAACATGATAGTATTGTACCCACGCAATACAATTCACCTTTCTTCAAAAAATTTCTTACTGCTCTGGC